AGCTCACCTCTGACTCCTCCGGGAGACTTCTGCCAGTTTCAAGCAGTCTTTACTGAGGAAAGGTCACTATTCTAAAATGGCAATTTGGATACAGGCACACTCTTCCACGCACCCAGTCTGCCCCAGCTGTGAGTGCCTGCTTTCCCTCTGGGCTCGGACTGCTGGTCAGAAGAGGCCTGGCTTGGGCAAACTTCCAGATTACCTCTGACTCCTCTGGGAGCCTTCTGCAGGCTTCAAGCAGTCTTTACTGAAGAAAGGTCCCTATTCTATAGGGTGTTGGTGATTTTTTTTCTGATCACTAGGTGGCACCAGAGATCTCGCCTAGTGTCCTTGGGGAGCTGTTTTTTCACCCTGTGGGACAGGGGAACAGAGTGGGAGTGGTGGGGAAAGCCTCAACAGCTTTGGGGTGCTGTGTCTGCCTTGTGCCTCACCGTCGTGGGGATCCCATGCCCCAAATTTCGTGCCTCGGGTCTCAGTTCCAAAGCCCTCAGGTCCAGGACATGGGCTGTAGCCCAGTTCAGTGTCCGCAGAAATGGCACCTTTTGCACCCCGCTCCTGTGTCCGGGCTCCTGGTTTCTGTTTACTCAGTGAGGGACATTCACCTCAGTGAGGGCCCCTGCACGTCTCCCCACAAGCCTAGTTTGCAGGCGTGAGGACTTGGGCAGCCGCGATCCTTGATCCACTCCTCGTATCCTTTTCAAGAATGCAGCTTTTCTGCACAAGCTTACCGTCTGGCCCAGGGCTGTTTGTAGGTCTCCAAGTCTTTGTTTTTCTCTAATGGCTCCTGGAGCCATTTGCTCACCTCCGCAGGGAATTCTGCAGGGTTCTCCACAGCTCCAGTTCACGGGGTGTGGTGGCTGAAATAGTTCCTTTCCACTCATAGTCCCACTTGATGCGTAGTTTGCTCTTGTTGTTTGTTTTAGTTTTTTTGTTTTTTCCTCCTTTCTGTTGGTCAGAGAGTGCCGACTTTGTGGGTGGGGGAGGGTGGCAGGGTTCTGAGCTTTCCTCCCTTCTAGTCCTCTTTTATGGCAACTTTCTTCTTCGGGTAGTTTGCTGGAGTCGCCCGTTTAATCTTCCGTGTCCCAGTTCTCACTGGGACCTGCCGCTTTTCCTCCCTATTAACTTTTTTTTTTAATGGGAGATCTTACTCACAGTGTTTCCTCAACACCATGTTGATCTGCCCTCCATACCATAGTAATTTAAAAGATATCAAATCTATCCATTTTCTTCAGTAAATGACAAGTATATAATAAATTGCTTAAGTTTTATATATAAAAATTATCTATCTATTTAGATTGATATATAACTATATTTGATTATATATCTTAAGTTATATTTAATCTGTGTATAATTGAATACATAACATAAATATATAAAAGGATCTTTTTATATACAATTTAACAGAAATACAAATAAGGAATTCATTTGACTGTAAATTTATATTTTGAAACAGAAGATAAGCAACCAAAATTTCCCCTCTAAAAGGATTTAATAAACTGAAATTGCTATATTTTAATTTTTTTTCTTTGAGGGAAACTTAACAGAGAACATTAGTTGCAGGTATACAACAAATTTTTTTCATCATTTTTTAATTCCCAAGTGATATTGGCCCTTTCTTCCAAAATGAGAATTTTGGCTGATGGAAGAGAGTATGGAAGGACAATTTAGACATTCTTAGTCGGACTGGGAAGTTCTTTAATTCTTGGAATGAGCTAAAAGAATGAAATGGAAATTTGGTCAAAGGTGCAGGAAAAAGAGGGGCTTGTATTAATGATACATTTCCATTCTCACAGACTGCTCTTGAGTTTAGAGGTAGTGAACAGCAGATGAATCTCATAACAGGTTAAAAAAAATGCAACATCTGTCTGTATAGATTTTCACGATATTTATTTTTATATTATCTTTCTATATCATTTTTGCTGTCGCTTTTGAACTCAGTGGGTTTGGAGTGCGGGGTCCTTGGGTTCACTCTGGGAAAGGTTTCACCAGAGCTCCCCTTTCCGTGACACACGGCAAGTTTCTCCACGAGACAGAGACATTTTAGTTATATTTAAAGGGCAGGCTTATCAGGGAAAGGGATAAGAGAGTAAAAGACACAAGCAGGCAGCAAGAGCTGCCTGGAAAGGGACAGGTTTGCTGAGAGAGGCCTGCATGGTTGCAGGCAGGCGGACATGAGGAGAGCTGCCTCCACTGATGAAGGTAAGTGAGGGGAAGTCCGGGCAGGTACAGGTCATGGCCAGGCAGGCAGGGAGCTGCTACCCTGCAGGAGAGAGTTGGTGAAAAGAAGCACCTGCATAGTCACAGGTGGGCAGTGGGATTGCTGGCCCCGAGCCAGTGCAGAGACTGCACTGACAGTCTTCTTCTATTTGGGAGGGGTTTACTCCTTCTGAGCCCAGTCAGTTGGTTGCTAATTTTGGAGAACTATGTAGAATTTGAAAGGGACCAGAGATTCCACAATGGGTTCAATCTCCATATCTTTACCTTCGGATGTGTGCTTGCTTGGATAACTGCAAAGATGTTATGCTTTGTAATCTAGGCTTCAGGGCCTAAGGATACTTGTCCATGCCTAAGGATACTAGTTTCTCCAACTGTGTTGTCTGCGCCTAAGGATCTTGGTTTCCACAGCTTGTCAATGGCTATGCTCATCTCTTCTACCCCCACCTCCTTGTGTAAGCCAGGTTTCTGGTCTTGCAGTGCACCTCCTTTTCACTTTTTTTTTTTTTAATTCTTGTCCTCCATCAATTTTTCCTACCAGTCATAAGTTAGATGTTTATTAAACAATTGATGAATGAATGGGTATGAGATTATCACTAATAATTAAAGCTTTTCTGTGCTTCAGGAACTTGCTGTATAGGAAGTTCTGAAGAGAGAGAACTCTGGAATTCTATCTACAAATATCCATGAAAATCTGTTGCTGCCACAGAAGAAATAAAGAAAATCCCAGTGCTGGATCCTTTCTACATAGGTAAGTCTGATAATGACAATAAAAAATACATTTCTCAATTTATTGTCTTACTTTCTATTGGGTGACTTTTTAAAATATAACCAAGCAATTTCACAGCAAATTGAAAAGTGAAAAATGCCATTTCACTATTGATGGTAATTTTCCATTAATTGCGTCCGCTACTACCCTCAGCAGTGTATTTTGTCAGTCTCCCTGTTCTGTTCCCTTCTCCGGCTCTGGTGAATCCTCTCACTCTCCTGCACTTCTGACTGTGCTCAGTGCTTGTATAAATAAATAAATCTTTTTTTAAAAAAAGAAAGAATTTTAAAATTTAAAATTCCCAATACCAAAGCACCATATAATACTAAATTTTCTTAATTAGCTAGCTACAAAACCAGTAAATTATACATGGATATTGTTAGAGGGCAGGTAGAGGGGCAGCCCAAACACTGCAAACCACAGCCAGGCAACCTGTTCAATATCGGGGCTGCCCTATAACAATATGACAAATATTCTCAAATAATTTCTTTTGTTCTGCTAAAGTTTAAGAAAAAGCAGAACATTGAAATCACTGGATTCTATGTTAAGTATATTTGAAAGTGTATTTGAAAAAAAAATCCATTTAATATCCGAGTACATGAAGGAATAGAATGAAAAATATTGTAAATTATAATGCAATCTTAAATGGGGACTAAAGAAACTTGAAATTTTCCAAATATTTTTGAAAAATGACACTAGAGAATAAAAATATTGTCATAGAGAATAAAAATATTATCAGTCACCAGCTCCACTGGTCATTTCCTTAACACACAGTCTTCCATGTTGCCTGAATCTCTAATGAGAGATGAGGGTATAAAGGCCCAGCTATTTGGGCTCAACATGACACATACTGATAGCCGTACTAAAGCTAACAATTTGTAATGTGTAGATGAATGTTGGTAATATAGTAGGTCATAGGAGACCTCCCTGGTGGTGCAAAGGGTTAAGTCTCAGCACAATCAAGCTATAGCCAAGTACTGCAGCATGAGTTCCATTCCCGGCCAGGGAGTTGACCCACACGGCACAGCAAACTTCTCCTGTCTTGCCTGCTGTTCCCCTCAGCAGTGTATTTCAGTGGCTCTGCCTGTTCTGCTCCCAACTCTGTCTCTGGTGAATCCTCTCCTCCTTCCCTCCCCCACCTCTGGCCTAGACTCCAATTCCTGAATGCATAAATAAAAAAAAAATAAAAAAAAAACATATATAGTTGGTCATGCAAGCTCTCATCACAAGAAAAAAATGTAACTATGTGAGTGATGGATGTTAACTGACTTAATGTAATCATTTTGCAATATGCACATATATTAGTTCATTTGGCATACCTTTATGATGTTATATGTCAATTACATCTCAATTAAAAAATTACTTACTTCACACTTTCCTGCAGGATTGATTGACATTCGACAGACTGCAGTGTGAAATCTTCTCCTGGATAATTATGACACTCATACATGCTGTAACGTGTTAACTTCCTTTTTACTGCTTGGCAGTCCTTTAGTCTAAGGATGTACTAGAGTTTGCTTAACTATTCTTCTGTCACTGGATATGTGACATTTTTGTCATTTTGGCTATTACAAATAAAGTCACTGCAAACATTCATTTAAGAGGCTTTGTCTGGGCATCTCCTTTCAAGTTTTATTATATTTGAAATTTTTCAAGTTTCTACTTTTTCACCTTCAAGATTTGCAATATTTTCAAAATTAAGTTTGGATAAGAATATCCGTGGGATTTGCCCTTTTACATGAAAAAATGGGGCTATGGATTGGCACAAATCTTTTCAAGGACAAATTTATCAAAATATAAAATACAATTATTCTCTGTTCCACAAATTTTCTATAATATTCTGTAATATTGGGGAACTTACCTTCTAGTGTCTCTGTTTCTCATCAGTGGAGAGAGGATGATAATATATAATATGTTGTTTATAGTGTCAATGGTAATTCATAGGATTATAGTAAGTATATAATAAATTAATCCATTCATTAACAATTCTTGCCATGCCAATGTTTTTTTTTTCATTATTACTTTATTACTTTATTTATGGAAATCTGTTCAGAAATACTTCTGTCATACATATAAAGAGATGCTGTTTAAGGGTTCACTATGAAATATTGTTCACTGTGAAAATAATGTAACAATAACACATTGGAAATGGTCTAAATGACCTACATCTGTAGGAGACAATACAGAGAAAGAATGGATATGGGTGTGGGGGAAACTGTCTAAATTTTGCTTCATAGGTCTCTCTGGTGGCACAAGGGGTTCAGTCCCAGAACTATGAAGTTATCTGTAGCCACAGTAGCATGAGTTAGATCCCTGGCCAGGGAGAGACCCACATGACCTGGCAGACTTCTTCTGTCTTGCCTGCTGCTCCCCTCAGCAGTGTATTTCAGTAATCTGCTCCCTAGTCAGTCTCTGGTGAATCTGCTCACCCCCACCCCACAACTCTCACCTCTGTTCTACACCCTGCTCTTGTATACATAAATAAATAAATCTTTAAAAAATAGTCTGCTTCAGCCTTTACTCAGTATGGAGCTTAATCTGTTCATTAATCTTTCTGTGTCTCAGTTACTGCAACTATAAAAAATGATAATAACATTATTCTTATAAAACATTTTGTAAGGAATCAAAGAGATATTACATGTAAGTTGCTTAGAAGAGAACCAAGCAGAGTGTATATTCCATAAACCATAATATCGTGATAGACCATTATGAAACAATCTCTTTACAATATGGGCAGGACTGAAAGGTTGCTGCAAAAGAGTACTCATTTGTTTGTATTTTTCCCTTCTAGATAATGTATAGTAGATACAAGTAAATGATCCACTTATATATCCTAAGACTTGGATATCAATATTCAAATATTTGTCAATAGTTTCTTTATTTTGCAACTACAGGAAGTGAATGAGTTACAAATATTTCAATATCAAATTCAACTTTCATAATTTGGGATATGAATGAAAATTTTAATATCTAAAATTGTTCAACTTAACAGTAAATAGTAAAAATCAGTTTTCAAAAGCACCTGTCAGTCTTAGAGTAACTTACTTGAATTTGTGAATTAAAGAAAAGAGTTATGTGTTGTCACAGGAAATAACAAAAGTTAAGTGTTTTATTGGAATTACTGAGATTGACAATAATGAATAATCATCATTTTATAGTATTACTTTACATTGAAATGACTTAACATGAAAAACAAACAAAAAAAGGAAGAGTTATGCTAACATGTGCACTTTGCTTTCTGTGCCACTATTCTGTTAAGGAGCAATAACTCCTTCAAATACAGATTATTCAATAGATATTCAAATAATTCTTAAGTAGGTGAATAAACTCATAGGCTTAGACAGATTAAAACAGAAGTTAGCTTTCATCTCCTATAGAATAAAACAAAAACAGAGCATATGTGCATGAAAAGACAAATAAAAACACTGGTTACTTCTTAATAAAGGTGATAGTCTGCCTTTTATACTAATTTATGTTCGGTATAACAAGTAACCACTAAATGTAGTAGCAGGAGGAAATTTGGCTGGAATTTTTCCTTTTACAAGTCGCAGCCACACTTCCTGCCCGTAATTTAATTCTAACAAGGCATCACCAGTCAAAACCCTATCACAGTGTATTTCACTGTTAATATTTTCAGACTCAAATGCAAGCTTGTCTACTCCATCAACCACTAAAAATCCAGAGATATGAGCACTAAATGACTCAATGGTATACTTAAAAACATAAACCCCAAGATAAGGAACCTTGAATTTCCCAGTTCTTGGAGTATATGAAGCTCCATAATTGACATCCAAGTTATTAAATAGGATAGGACCAGGTGTAGTCATTCCATAGGTATGAGATGCAAAAAATGCCACCATTGGTGCATACCGGTAAGATCCTTTGGAGAAATCTGTTGGAGGGAAAAATACAGAGAGAGCTTTTATGTTTTTCTTTTGTTCTTTCTCTTGCCTTTATTAGTTTATCTCAGATATAAAAAGGATTAGCAGAAGTAAAAAGGTCACTCATTGGATGAAAAAGAGCTCAGAATTTTGATGCCTGCCTCTTCTATTGACTGAGTTACCCTAAATGGCTTAGCCTCTCTGAGCCTCAGTTTCTCTATTGAGATTAGAAGATAGTGAAAATAACATTTGATACCCCCCTCTTAGCTTTGCCTCAAAGATTAATTTGCATGTTGCTATGATCTCTCTGGAGGTAGAAGAGCTCAAAGCACTCTGTGATTATTAGGGTATGCCAGCTGTTTTAAAGACCCTCACAAGAATTGAAACGGACATGATGTAGAGACAATTTTTCCAGCACCTTGTCAAAAGAGGCAAAAAGAGAAACCAAATAAAGTCACAGGCACCATAGAGAATTAGACAAAAGCAATTTTCTGTGTAATTAATGCCAAATGTATTTAAGCAGGATGATATTTAAAAATAGACTAAAAATTTTACGCTTTAATATGAAGTATATTAAGAAAAGCTTCAATTGAAATTTATTGGCTACATTAAAATATTTTTAATATTTTATTTTATATAATTCTTATATCATTTTTCATTTTTGCACAATGTATGCATTTTCATTTTGGTTATATTCCCCATACAATTGCACCCCCTTTTATTTTGACCCTAATCCTTCCTCTCCCCTCTCCCTGCCCCCGTAGTGTGTCTCTGGTTTATAGTTGCTTGTTGATTTTGATTTTTACTTTGTATTAATTAGTTTTTTTCCTTGTCCCTTAATTAGGTTTTCTAAATTCCTGCTATGAGTGAGACCATCTGGTATTTTAAGAATGCATTTTAAATGCTGTATACATCATCCTTTATAAAAATCAGAAATGAATCTACAGCAACCAATACTTATGAAAGTAAGTGGCATCTGCAAAAGGCATTTTGTTCTGCTCAATACTTGTGAGCATATTCTAACAGTCCTCACCAGTCAAATGGCAATATTAGTTTCAGGGAAAATATACTGTTAAGCACTTATTAAAGCTTCCTTTAAATGACCTTACTTGACATGTATCAAAGGTGTTTCTTCAATAATTTGTTTGAGGAGAGAGAGTTTATATAGTAAGATATACACATCTGTGTTTTCTTTTAAGGTGCATGAAAAACTGGAGAGAATAGAACATTTTCATTAAACTACCTCTATTTCACCAACAGGGAGATTTTCCAGAAGTGTGTACCAATATGAATTTACTTGATAAAAAATTTTCATTTGTAAATACTGTATGTGTTCCATAAATTTCATGAGTAAAATGAATTTGTTCTCCAGCAAGTCCTGATTAATCAAATTTAAATACATATTTGTAAACATTTTTTAAATGTTTCTTTAGGAGCAGCAGACCACTCCTATCTTACCCGCTGCTTCTCTTAGCAGGGTATTTCAATAATCCACCTATTCTGTTCTCAAAAAAAAAGGTTCATTTATGACATTGAACAAATTCAAGGATGCATGCACTGCTTACCTGGAGCTAAAGCATTTTCTTCCACAAGCTTGACAGTACAGTTGTCACCAGTGAAAGGATGTCTGCAAGCACAGATAAAGTTGGTTCTTCCACTTATACATGTGCCCCCATTTTGGCACGGGGACTTACTACAGTCTGAATATTCCTTCGTTACTGAAAAAGCACCAAGAAAAGAAAGAATGAAGTCAGCTATTTTCCTATCGATCTGAAATCAGTTTGCATTTGAATGGGAAAAATACTGAATTAGAAATAACAGACATGACCCCCATGGTTCATGTTGTCCACCAGTATAAACAACGAAACATGCAAAACAAATCTCATGTAAAACAAATCTTACTTATTCTCTGAATTCCCTTTCTTGCTTCTTCAAAGTGAATCATCACTTGGGATCTATTGCATTTATTTGTAATAAAATATTAAGATTTTTGTCAAGTGTAGAATAGGATATCTAGCCAGAGAACCAAATAGATTTGGAATTGGTACATGATAAAGATTTGGTACATGAAATTATTGGTGAAGAAAAATGTCCACTCAATACATGGTGCTAAGATAACTGGATATCCATAAAAACATGAATCATACTTGTATAAAAATGTAGTAAACATAAAAGCATTACAATCAAATCATTTCTTTATAGAGTCTTAAAATTTTGGAAAGTTCATTCAAAGCCAAGCAAAAGCAAAACCAGAAACCACAACACAGAAAAAAATCCTCATATTTAGCCATCTAAGAATTAAAAGTCATCTGCAAAGAAGTTCGTCATTATCAAAGTTCAACGATGAGTAACAGTTTAAGAGATAAGATTTTTAAATAAATAGAAACAATGAGCAAAAAAGTTAAAAGCTTTAAGTGCAAAAGAAAAGCAGCAATTCCCTTTAAAAAGTGAAAAGAAAAGGGAAAATAACGGAACAAAACCCAGAAAAGCTCACTAAAATATTTAAAGCACATTCAACCTCATTACTAATTAGGGAGTAATAAATTACCCCCAATAAATTACATTTTTAAATCATGTGGCAACATCTAAAAAGGTAGAAAACATTCAGCCATGGCATAATGGGAGGAAAGAGTATTTTATGCATTGTTGATTAGGGATTAAATTGTTAGAATTTTTTAGAGAATAATTGAACTGAAAAGTTACATTTCCTTCAAGCCAGAAATTTCTCCTGATAGAGTATGTACTCCAGACAAACATGCCCATGTACATAACTAAGAATGCTTTATGACATCATTTTCATTAGTGAAAAAGTCTAAGACATCAAAGTGACCGCTGATGCAGGACTTGTTAAGTGATTTATATAGTATGTTCCTTCTAAGGAATATTAGACAGCAGTTATAGGATGAGATAGATCCCCAACACATTTGATTTACTAAAGACAAGTTCAGTTCATATGTCAGTTATGGAACAATTTAATTTATTTAGAAAGAATCAGATTGTGAGTATGGTAATACACATAGCACATGATTATGTAAATGCAGAGAAAATGATAATACATTACTGGTCACAGTTACCACTATGGCGCCATCTTGTGGCAATGTCTCAAACTGTTTGCAATTCAGTCATTTCAAACCATGATTATAAAATTCAGATTTATACAATTTACACAATTTGTTTACAATTTTTCTCAAGAAGTAAAATGTGTAAATTATTACATATATCTTATCTTAGATTATTCAAGTTCACATAAAATATGACCGAACTGCATATCAATGACTTAATATCATTAAATATTTTTTGCTAGAAAATATATTGCACAATAAGAGACTGATTTGATTCATTTACACATTCTCTGAAATATCCTATATCCTATAAACTATTATCCTCATGAAGATATCTATGAAAAATGTCACATGTATGTCATATCCTTTAAAAAATGGTTCAAACCGGCCCACATTTCTTTAACATCATTTCTCAATCAAATAAAAAGGTTAGTAAAACTTTCCACTATTAGTGATCATTATGAAATATAGTCCATTACTTGCTAATTTTAATGCTTCAATGAGTCTCTATTACTCATAAAATTGTGTATTCTTTATGTCACCGCATTGGCTTCATCTGTTTTCACGTTTCCTGAATCTAGTACAGCGATCAACTCACAAGGCGGTGTTAATTAATGTGCTTCACTAGGAATGAATAACTGCAGTGGAGCTGGGCAACATTGCGCTATTTATGTAATCTGATCAACTCTAACACTCTTATTTCCCCGTATGGGAAAATGTTTCTCTGATCTGGAGCCAGTGAAACAAGGATGAAACCTGTTCTCTGAGGAAAATTTCAGAATAACTAGATATTAATTCCTCTGCAATACTATTATTTCTACTCTGATTTTACAAGACCAGTACCATATTTGCATTCTATTTAACTGTCCAGGATGTGCATTCTGTTTTTCTCCTCCTTCTGCTCTATTATTGCAACAATGGTGTCTTGCCTTACTCTCCTTTTTGTGTCATTTCAGTGGGTGTCATTTTGCCATTATTCCTTATATTTGCCTTTATTCTATGTGGGTCATTCATTGGGAGAAGAGGTCCACTTAAGTCTAATTAAGGACCTGCATTTCCTCCTTTCACTGCTACACTCAAAATTGCTGAGACTGCACATGGCTTGTCTTCTAGGACACCTCTCATGATGGCTGCTGCCCAGGGAGCCTTGCACTGGCCTGCACTGGCCTGCAAGTGCTTCTGCTGCTTGTGTTTCAAGTTCCTTTCTTTGTCTTCCTTGAAATTTTAGATCTCTCCGGTCCCCAGATCCCTACCAAAGTAATCTGTATTACAATATACAAACTACACCCATGGCTCCCAGAGTTCAACAAATTGTGAACTGAGTCTAATTATAGCAGGCTACCATAACAATTGCCAGTTACCCTTCTGAAAAGACATTTCATTTAATTTAATGCTGTATGAGTTTTAGGTGCATTGTGTGTGTGTGTGTGTGTGTGTGTGTGTTTGGCATCTGTATCATATTGTATCATAACAGGTTTTCTATGCTCTGATGTCAGTGAACTTCTTGAAAATCCCCTATTTATTTAATTTAACAAGAATTCATAATTAATATGAATAAATTTATTTTATTTTACTTATCTCTGTCCATAGAAATTGTTCTTTTGTTTTAATTCTGTATGCAACATTTTAATCACCTCTTCCAGCTTTCCAAATTTATGTTTTATGTGTTCATCCAAATCAGTGATAAAAATACTTAGTGGATGCAATGTAAAGTACAGAATCTCATAACAAATAACTAAAGACAGGTTGACACTTATTTGTCAACCAAAACTATTTGTATTTTGTTTTACAACCAACTACATATCTACTTTTGTACATCTGAATCAGACTTTCTGTATTATTATCAAAATAATTAAAAAATGGTTAGGTACCTTTAAAAGTTCCTGCTTCCTTGCCTATTGTGATAAACAGTCAATTTGCTGTTGAATCAACACATAAATCAGACTCTAGCAAAGCATCGTTTTTCTTACATCTTCCCTCATTCCTGTGAATAAAATTCATTTCATTGATTCCCTAAATTATTGTCTGATGTTCTGAAGTTTGATTTTGTCAAACTTGTGATAGTATACAGTAATACTATACATACTGTCTTACTTCCATCTGCAGCGTGAGTTTGTGTGAGGCACTTTATTTCTCAAACTGTGTCACTATTGACTACCACAGTGGCTGAAATAAAAAGTTGAAATGCTTTTAAAAGTTGAATAAACAAGCTAGTAGAAAAATTGAATAAATGGTGACATTCTTTATGTTTTTAAAGATCTAATATTCTATCTCTTTAGGTTTTTAAAGATCAGGTATAGTTTCACTGTATGATATCATTGGCATGCTTTTGTAGAGATATGGAATCATTTCTAGCAAAATTTCTGCAGCATCTCTCCTACCTTGAGTTTTAATAATCTCTTAAACTCTTTCCAGTCCATTTATTTTCTTTGATGGAGATCAGTGGAATTAGCTGAACAGTTCTGCCAACTCAACATTCTACTACCTTGTGCAAATAGCATAACTAATCTTTCAATATCCATTTCCCTTCTCTGAACATGACTAAAAGTCCTTTGTCATTGTTATGGAATGTTCCATAAGTCTCAATTTGTTCTGGTCTTTGCTTTCTGGACCCTGATGTATGCTCATGTTACACTTTCTATTAGTCCTACTTCCATATTTCATAAATGTTCATGTTAAATTTGAACTGATTGGAGAGCTCCATGCATTTTCAAAGTACTCTGCTTTTGCTAACATTTGCCATTCTTCATTATAATTACTTGCTTAATGTATGAGATCCATGAAAAGAGGGACAATGCTGAGTTTGCCATTTTGTCCACTCAGTTGTCCTCAGAGCTCACTCCAAATTTACTCAACAGGTATTTGATGAATAAAATAAAAACATACAGTATTGATATATTTTATTTCATTCTTTTACTTTTTAAAACATAAAATATTTCTCTAACTTGTGCATATTACTACTTTTATTTTAAGTTGATTTTTTAAATTTTATTCTTACATCTACACTAGAATTGAGCTAATACTTTAAAAATTTTTCACTGAAACAGGATGTTTGTAGAAGATAAATAACACTGATCCTTGCTTGGGGTAAAATAGAGTTTCCAACTGATCAGTCAAGGCAGCTGTCATTGTTTCTAGTACAGTTTTGTAACGCATCGAGTAAAACATTAACTGAATTCACCACATAACTCCACACTAGGCAATATACTCAATAAAACGTTAGAACTTTATCTTTTATCTTGATTCCAATGCTATCTGCAATGTTTTCACCCTAATGTTTATGGTAGGCTAACTTAAAAAGTGGCATATATATTAAAGTATGTTCAACATCATTCATCACTAGGAAAATGCAAAATCAAATCACAATTAGACAGAACTATACACCTATTAAAATGGTAAAATAAGCAAATGAGAGTGCTAAGTTTTACTACAGTTGCGGAACAATTAGCATTCTCATATATTGGGCCTCCGCGGTGGCACAGAGGGTTGAGCGCAGTGCTGTGAAGATGTCCGCAGACTCTGCAGTGTGGGTTCGATTCCTGTCTCACATTCTCTAGAATCTTATTCATATGATATTCTGGAAAAGATAATACTGCAGGAGAAAAACAAGTATTGCTTATTGCAGTGACTGGCAGTGGAAGTAGGGCTTGACTACA